ATAACAAGGTGTGGAGCTGGATGAACACAGCAGGCCAAGCAGCATCATAGGAGCAGGAAGGCTGACGTTTTGGGCCTAGACCCTTCATCAGAAATGGGGGAGGGGAAGGGGGGTTCTGAAATAAATAGGGAGAGCCAGGTCAGTTTTTGTTTTCTCTCTGTTTTTAAAAACATTCTCTATGGTTGGCTTGCCAGCACCAGTCTCCCTTAATTGATCAATTCAACATCTAATCAGCTGCAAGTCCCTGAGCATAACAACATTTTGGTCCCAGTTCATCTGCAGTGTCCTTAGTGCAAGAATTTACCTGCATTATCTTTCCAAGCCAGTTCTCAGCAGCAAACATTAGTCTTTATTTCTCTCCTCTTTTTTTAGAAACAAGCTGCTGTTCAAAGCTCAATTCTCAACTGCAACTCACAGTTTCAAACAAAAAGCTAAGAAAACTAAAAGAAAAATAGTGATGGTCTCAACAATATCAAGAATCCATAAGAGAGTACAGGGGCGCCCATCAGGGGAATATATTAGTGCCTGTTCATTTTGGATCTGGAGGATCTGAAGGGTTAATACATGACTAAGTGCAGTAAACACCACACACTATGAGTGTGTCAGGACAACTTGGAATCCTGTGGCAGTAATTCCATACATTCACCCCTCTCTGGCTGCAGAAATTTCTCCTCTTCTCCGTTCTAAAAGGTGTTCCCTTTACTGTAAGGCTGTGCCCTCGGGTCCTAGTCTCTTCTACCAATGGAAACATGTTCCAAACATCCACTGTGTCCAGGCCATTCAGTATTCTGTAAGTTTCAATTAGATCCCCCCTCATCCTTCTAAACTCCATTGAGTATAGACTCAGAGTCCTCAAACGTTCTTCATATGTTAAACTTTTCATTCCTGGGACCATTCTTGTGAATCTCCTCTGAACCTGCTCCAGGGCCAGTACATCTTTCCTGAGATATGGGGCCCAAAACTGCGCACAATACTCAAAATGTGGCCTGACCAGAGCTTAATAGAGCCTCAGGAGTACATCCCTGCTTTTATATTCAAGTCATCTCAAAATAAATGCCAAAGTTGCATTTGCCTTCCTGACTACTGACTCAACCTGCAAGTTTACCTTGAGAGAATCCTAGACTAGAACTCCCAAGTCTCTTTGCACTTCAGGCTTCTGAATTTTCTCCCCATTTAGAAAATAGTCTATACTTTTATTCTTCTTACCAAAGTGCCTGACCTCACACTTTCCCACATTGTACTCCATCTGCCACTTCTTTGCCCCAATCTCCTAACCAGCTCAAACCTTTCTGCAGCCTCCCCACCTGCTCAATGCTATCTGTCCCTCCACCTATCTTCGCATCATCTGAAAACGTAGCCAGAATGTCCTCAGTTCCTTCATCTAGATCATTAACATATGAAGTGAAAAGTTGTGGTCCTAACACTGACCCTTGTGGGACAGCACTTATCACCGGCTGCCATCCTGAGAAGGAACCTTTTATCCCCACTCTCTGCTTTCTGCCAGACAGCCAATCTTCTATCCATGCTAGCACCTTCCTGTAACACCATGACCCCTTATCTTAGTCAGCAGCCTCCTGTGCAGCACCTTGTCAAAGGCCTTCTTGAAGTCCAGGTAGGTAACATCCATAGGCTTGCCTTGGTCCAACCTGCTCGTTACATCCTCAAAAATGAGGGCATATGTTTAGGGTGATGAGTAAGTAGTTTAGAAGGGATGTGAGGGTAAAATAATTTCACCCAGAGGGTGTTAGAGATATGAAAGGCACTGGCTGAGATGGTGGTGGAGGCAAATGCTCTCACTATATTTAAAAAGCACCTGGACGAACACTTAAAATGCCAGGGCATAATAGGCTACAGACCAAATGCAGGTAAATGGGATTAGTGTAATTTGGTGTTTGTTGGTAGGCATACACATGATGGATTGAAGGGCCTATTTCTATGTTCTAAGATTCATTGGCTACTTTAGGCAAGAAGTTACTGATTATAAGCTTGCTGCATGTGGGGCGAACACCTCCTTAACACAGCTCCTCCTTTGATTAAACATTTCAGCTCCCAACTCCTTCTTGAAGCACAACACAAGAAGAAAATTGGTGACGAGGATAAAAGATGCATTGCGGTCCACTGGATCAATCCACAGATTCATCAGGACAAAAAAAATCAGTGTGGTGGTCTTCACTGCAGCTCTCAGAAGAACTTTGATTGAAAGAAGAAGAGAAATCAAAATGCACAGCACTGCAGCAGTTACAGTCAGTGAAGAAAGAAAAGGTGAACAGTGCAGAAGAAGTCTGTCAAGTGTTTCACTCTGAAGGAACACTCTGAGGGATGAGTATCCTACATGGAGGGAAATTTTTTGAGCTAGGGGTGTAGACTCACAATGTGCAGCTTCAGGAACATGTTGTTTTAAACTATAAGAAGCAAGGTAGTGCTAAAAGATTTGTGGTACATTATGCTATGGAGGTTCCTGCATTCCTGAGTAATATGAGGGGGTAGAAACGTTTAACCTTCTGAGGTCTCTGCTACAGCCACAGAAACCAGATCCCAATACTTATGATGTAAGAGCAGGAATTACACAGAACCATATTTCACCGAAACCAATGGTGATTGCTGAAAAGTTCGGATTCCACAAACACAACAAGCACAATGGTGAATCTATCCCCCATTCATGACAAATTTTAAAGATGTGAAGCACTGCGATTTCAGAGACAATTTAAATAATGCTATCAGAGACAGGCTGGCGTGTGTTTGAAGATGTGAGGCAATTCAAAAGAGATGACTGACAGAAAGGAATCTAGACTTTCAGGAAGCACTGGAAATGGCAATCTCAACGGAACTGTCAGGCAATGAAGCTCATTAGTACAGCTCAAGCCTGAGAGTTCACAAACTGACAGCTGAAAAACAAGCACAAACAGACTCAAATCTACCATCAATGTGGGAAAACAGGTCTGGCAGTAGTAAATTACCAGTAGAAAGAAGACGCAACAAAAAGGGACACATTGAATGGGTACATTACAGGAAAACACATGAACAACTTACATTCAAAGTACTGTCACTGGAGAGTAGGGAAAAACTCTCCATAGTACAAAAAGGGAATGAGAAAAGCCTAGACTCACAATCCAAAAAGGAACTGTTATATGCATTCTGGCCATTTCTGGCAATACCAACAGATGCTGGCACACTCCCTTACTGAATGGTAAACAGGTAAGAACGGAGATGTACACTGAATGGCAGTTTCAGTGATACCTGAAATTGTGTATCAGAAGCAGTCAAGTCACATTGCACTGCAATCCTCAAAAATTGTAATGAAACATACACAGGTGAATCCATGTGAATTGTCAGTCTGAAGATTTGTCCTTATGTATCATCAATGGAAATTTTCCAGCTTTATTGGGAAGAACATGGCTGGAGAGAATCCAATTGAACTGGACTGAAGTAAATTGCTTGTCAGACTCTGAGACTGATATATCTGAAATTTGAAAGAACCATGCCACTGTTTCCAAGGGAAATCTGATAAGCCATTGTTTCCAAGGGAAATCTGATAAGCATGGAAAAGATCTCTGTCAAATTGAAAATGAAGGATGAGAATCAGGCAAAATGTTGCAAGGCTGGATCAGTGTCTTATGCAATCAGACCAAAGGTCAAGGCAAAATTAGAAAGGCTGGGCAAAATGGGAGTCCAGGTACCCATAAATGGGAGTGACTGGCCATACCTACAGTACCAGTGATGAAGGAAGGTGGATCGTCACATATATGCAGTGATTTTTCAGGTCACTATTAATTTGGTAGTGTGCGTTGAGCTGTATCCTTTATCTTTAATCGATGACCTATTTGCTAGGCTAGCTGGACATCAGCTTGACAGTAAAATTAACCTTAGTTCAGCCTATCTCCAGACCAATGTATCTTTTGAGTCACAGAAATATTGGTGCTTGTAGCACATAAAGGACTATTCAAATATAAGGGACTTCCATTCCGAATCGCATCTGCACCTGCGCTTTTCT